TGTGTGTAGTTCAGGCTAGACTTGGACTCAATCCTCCTGCCTCAGCCTCCCATATGTTGAGAATACAGCACACATGATCACACCTGGCTTTGCATCTGATTTGTCATCATTTCTTGCAATTTCATTTTAAATTTTTTAAGATGTTTTAATTTTATTTTTTTTTAATGTGTATGGGTGTTTTGCCTGCATGTATGCCTGTGTACCAAGTGAATGTTAAGGCCAGAAGGGGACATCCAATTCCCTGGAACTGGAGTTACAGATGGTTGGGAACTGCCATGTGAGTGCTGAGAATTGAACCTGGGTCCTCTAGGACAGCAGCCATTATTCTTAACTGCTGACCCAACTCTCTAGCCCCTTGTAATTTCATTTCAGAATATCTATACCAGATCTTACCTGGACCACTACGAAAGTTCCATAACCAACCTCAGTGTTACACCATTGAACTAATTATGCTAGTTTCCTGCCTCAAAACATTGACCCAACAAGATAAATCTTATACCCCATAAGAGAATATACAAGAATTCTCTCTAGATTTGTCATCTACTCATTCCCCACTTCCCACCATTTGTTAAATGCCTGAGTACTCTCAAGCACAAACTCTTCCATAGGATGGCGAGATGGCGCGGTGGGTAGAAGTTCCTGTTACAAAAGCCTGACTATCCCAGTACCATCCCCAGAACCCTCAGTTGGAAGGAGACAACTGCCATGGAATATTATTGTGCTACATTTGTTTATGCTGAAGATTATTACTTTAACTAATAAAAGTGTGTTACTTTTGTTTATGCTGCATTTGTTTAATGGTATAAGGATGTGTGTTTACTTATGTAAAGATGTGTTGCATCTGTTTGCTCTTGCCTGTCTAAGGCATCTGATTGGTTTAATAAAGAGTTGAACAGCCAGTAACTAGGCAGAGAAGGGATAGTGGGGGAGGGGGGGCTAGCAGGTAGAAAGAATAAATAGGAAAGGAACTCTAGGCTCAGAAAGAAAGAAGAATGAGAAGAACGAGAGAAAGAAAGAACGAGGGACATGCCTAGGGTAAGAAGCCAGGGGGCTGCTAGCCAGCCAAACATTGAGAAGCAGTTCAGTAAGATATACCAAAGTTAGAAAGCCCAGATGCAAAAAGTAGATAAACAGGTTAAATTAAAAGAGCTAGCCAGAAACATGCCTAAGCTAGACAAAGCATTTAAAACTAATGAGACTCTGTGTCATGATTTGGGAGCTGGTTGATAGTGTAAAAGAAAAAGCCTGGTACAGGCAACCAACTCAACAAAGGTATCCTGTGACCTCCACACAAACACTGGGCATGCACATATCCCTCCCCCTCAAAAACACACAGAGTAGATAGATGATAGATAGGTAAAATCAAATAAAAAAAAAACTGTTTCTGTTGCTCATAATTTCTTTACTCCTCTACTGGGAAAACCTCTCTCGTACCTTCCTCATGAATGTCTTTAGGTTGAGGCACCCAGGTGTGGTTCAGGCTCCACCTGTGGGAATATCATGCTGTTTACTGTACATTTTTGTTCTCCTGGGGATCTGATAAGATTGCATTTTCTTCCCCTCTGAAAGCTGTCTCTAGATATTTGGTATGCTCTCCTAGTGAAATGGGGAAAATAGAAGCCCTAAGAACTCACACATGATTCCTTCACTACCTTCCCTTGGGTAGCTGCTGCTCTGTCAGTTTTTATCCTGAACACAGGAAGACACAAAGCCAAGCATGCAGCCAGCCTGTGATGCCAATGGTGAGGAAAAACAAAACAAAACAAAATAAACAAAACAAAACAAAACAAAAAAAAAACCAACTGTGTTCAGCTGCTAAGATTTGGGGAATCCAGGTAATGCAACCTTTGCTTTCAGACATGTCCTGTAACTTTCCCAACACTGTTTCTCCCTGCCCTGAATTCAGGTCACCTTTTCTCTGTACCAATTCTGTAGGTCTGATGACATTGTTTCCTATTGTTAATTACTAGTTCAGTGATACTCTTAACCCCTCTATGAAGCTCTACCAAGTCTTCCTGAGAGCAGAGATGATATTTACTCCTGTGGCACCTCCCTTTTCCTTGTGGTCCATTGGCCACAAGTACACAGGGATGAAGGGAGCAGAGGCAGCATGCAGGGCTTTGTATGGCCTGTGAGTGCAATGGAAAACAGCCTTCTGGAGTCTGTTTCAGTGTTACAGCTCAATTTCAGAGTAAGGGGGATATATGGGATGGAGACAGCAGCTGGGGCATCACCTAATTTGCATTTGCCAGCAGGATCCTACTATATAGCTGGAGTACAATACCTAATTATCATATGGACAGCAGTAGGGGACGGGCATCTGTAGGGAACTGTGTCAGTGGTCACATTTAAGTCAGGTGTCCAGGCCTAGAAACACTATCCAAATAGGGTAGGGAGGGAGTTCTGTGGCAAAGGGTGTCCTCCATATTACGGCGACCTCAGAGACATGTACATGGTGGACTGCAACCTTAGGCAGTAGGGCCCTCTAGCATACTCTGTTTTTGTATGACACAAAGTATGGTTTGCGGCTATGGGAATGTATTATAGTAGGTGTAGAAATCAGATAGATGAGTCAGATCCCAGGCCAATGCGTATTAGACAATATCTCAAATCGGTTTCCTCATCTGTTACCATGTATTGCACAGGGCTTTAAACTTCTAGCTACTTGGTGCGATGTGTCATTTTAGAATTCATATTGTCCTTACTGTTTGTCATCATCACAGATGGTACCCAGTGAATGCTTGTAGATAAAGCAGTCTTTCACTGATTGGGGTGCTGTGGCATGTGCCCTGGGCTGAGAAGTTCAGGACTCAAGGACTTTACTTTTGTCACAACTGCTATGGTTTTAGGGACTATTGTCATTTATTGTTACATTGCAATCATGGTGTGCTATGGTTTTAGAGACTATTGTCATTTATTGTTACATTGCAATCATGGTGTGCTATGGTTTTAGGGACTATTGTCATTTATTGTTACATTGCAATCATGGTGTGCTATGGTTTTAGGGACTATTGTCATTTATTGTTACATTGCAATCATGGTGTGCTATGGTTTTAGGGACTATTGTCATTTATTGTTACATTGCAATCATGGTGTGCGTATGTGTGTGCCACAGTGGAAGTGTACAGACCAGAGGACGACTTTTTGGTCCTTTTCTTGCACCATGTGGGTTGTTGGGATTGAAGTCTGTCAGGCTTGGCAGCAGGCATCTTCACCTGCTAAGTTACCTGACCTGGAAATTATTACTGAAAATAAGGAGAAAGAAATTTTGTTCAATTATAAAGAAATATGAGACTGTGAAATATGTAGGAAGTGAAATAAATCTGGGGAATATTATATTAAGAGAAGTAACCCAAGGCCAGGAAGATAAATAATGCCTGTATTCTTTCGTGAGTGGATCCTACCTGCTAATTGTTATGCGTGTGCATTTAAGTGGGGTTGTGCATTTAAGTGGGGGTGTGCAGAAGGCCTGGATGTTGTGTGATGTTTCACTCTTACTTTTGAGGGGGGCCACCACCCAGCTCCCAAATAACTCACTCATGGAGTCTTATTCTTAGTTATGAGTGGCCAGCCTTAGCTTGTTTTGTTTCTAGTCAGCTCAGGCACCTTTTTCTGACCTCCACGGGCACCAGGCATGTACGTGGTGCATGGACTTACGACTTACATGCAGGCAAAACACCCATATACAGTGAAACTTCACATAGTGGCAAGTCAGTAATGGGGGTAACCAGCTACTCTTTGCTCAGATTTGAGCAAAGCAGGGAGTCCACATTTGGTACTGCAAGCCTGGTCAAAAGCCTGTAGCCAGTGAGGTCCTAGGCCTTAGCAGAGAAGCCACTGCCGTTTTTGCTAAATGGACAAGATGTATACATCATATTTCTGCATAAATATGTATGTCCATACCCATAGCTTAGTGCTACCATCAGCTTTTGTCAGAGAAGTTTCTTTTTGAAATTGAGTAGTAGTAACTGGAAAGACTCATAACTGGCCAAAGTACTGAGAATAAGGAACTGTTTAATGGGACTTCTATATTGAGGAAGGAGTAGACTGAGGTAGGATGCTATCTTTGGGATATGGCATTGTTGCTGGACTTTTGTTTTTAACTAATGTGTAAGTGTGAGTGTGACCTCTCTCGTGCATTCCACATGTGTGGAAGTCAGGGAACAACTTGCATGCATCAATTCTTTCCTTCTACCATGTGGCTCTAGGAAATTGAATTCAGGTCATTAGCTTCAGTGATGGCACCTCTACTCACTGAGCCATCCCACTAGCCCTGATGTGATCTCACATCAGCTGAGATTAACAACATAAGATTTATGCAAGATTGGGTTTGTCAACATTCTGTCAGAAGAGGGAAAAGGGCCCTTGACCAGGACCTATGGACAGATAATGGTATCTGTGTGTGTGTGTGTGTGTGTGTGTGTGTGTGTGTGTAGAGGTCATAAGGCTCTATTCCTCTTTGAGTATCAGTAGGGGCTGATGACTGCTGGGAACAGGAGAAACCTTTCTTTTGAGGTTATAGCCACTGATAAAGAGCCCATACTTCTAAAAACAATTCCTCTGGCAAGACCCTATAAGTGACCCTGATAGAACGCATTGCTCATCAAAAATATATAAGGAAGAAAGAAGAGAGACTAGGTGGGAGGAGAAAGAAAGCAGCAAGAGTAGGGGGAAGGGATGGGTAATGAGGGTGCAAGTAATAAAAATATCTGTAAATATAAAAAAGCCATATTGAAACCTATTAATTAAATTAAGGATATAGGGCTTTTTAAAAATATAATTATCCACTTATATTTCTTCTCTGAATTATCCATGTCTCTTGCCCATTTTTCCATGGGGCTGATAATTATTTTCTTAGTGTTCTTCTAATTAGAGCACGATGCAGTAATCATAAAGGACACTTCTCAATCATGCCTTGGATTGTTAGTTAATTGTCTTGGGGACTTTTTGGGATGCCAACAGACTTCCTGGGTGACTGATTTTTTCCTTTTCTCGCCCAGGACACAGCTGGACAAGAGCGATACCGGACCATCACCACAGCCTATTACCGCGGGGCCATGGGCTTCATCCTGATGTATGACATCACCAATGAGGAGTCCTTCAATGCTGTCCAGGACTGGTACAAACCAAATTCATTCACTAATTTCTTCACCAAATTGTTCATGAAAACCTAGCCTGTGCTATGTGTAAAGGAAACCCAGGTAAATCAGTTATGGCTCCTGACTTTAAGATGTGCTCACACGAGAGGAAAAAAATCAAACCAGGAATGGACCGTGAAAATGTCAGGTGACAGGTGTTGTCCTACTTTGCTCTTTGTTGCTGTGATGGAACACTGACCAAAAGTAACTTAGGGAGGAGGAGGTTTATTTCATCTTATAACTTCCAGGTCACAATATTTATCACTGAGGGAGGTCAGGGCAGAAACTTAAGGCAGGAACCTGGAGGCAGGAACTGAAGCAGAGACCATGGAGGATGCTGCTCACTGGCTTACTCTCACCCTGTGACTTGCTCAGTTGGCTTACTCATACAACCCAGGACCGCCTTCCCCGGTGTAGCACTGCCCACGGTGGGCTGGGCCCTCCCACACTGATCAATCATTAATCAGTGCCCCCACAGATTTGCTCACAAGCCAATCTGATGGAGGCAGTTCCTAAACCGAGGTTCCCTCTTCCCTGGTGGCTCTAGTTTGTGTCAAGTTGGTGAAAACTAACCAGCTTCAATTATGTCAAAGAGAGGCATATGGGTGATGGGAATGCAGCCGTGGGAGTCAGGGAAAGCATCTTGGGGTTGAGGGTATGCAAAGTTCTGAGTAATATATAGGAGTTAGCCTGAGGGACAAATGGATAAGAAGTTCCAAAAAAGAGTACAGACATGCAAGGATGAGGAAGTAGGTGAGAGGTTAAGGAAAGTGTAGGTCATGGGAGGTTTTGTGTTACCCTGTAGATGACGATATTGGAGTTGGAAATAAACTAGTTTCACGTTTTGTTTCAGGGTGATCCTCTGGCAAATGAGCCCATATAGCATTTGTCACTGGGCTGGGCTTGGACGTAAGAGTAAATTCAGTCCAAGTTCAAAAGGGTTCCACTGGCAATGGAAATCATCACAACACTCCAGAGATACAACCTTTCTTCTCTGGGTATCACTCACTAAGAAAAGGAGGGGCTGATGACAGGACAGTGCCCCTACTCAGTGGAGGACAGGAGAAGGTGGGGTGTCAATGCCATTACTGTTCTTTAGAAACAGAGAAGCTGAGTGAGTCATGTAGCCAGCAACTGTGTTGACCAGCACTGACTTGGTCTCCTTTTTGTTAATAACTACTCTATTAGTCTGTTTTCTGTCACTATATCAAAATACGGGGGTGGGGGTGGGGATGGAGGCTTTATAAAGCAAAGACGTATACTTAGCTATCAGATTTGCATGCCCAAAGATGGCACTGGGTCCGGCAAGGGCCTCCTGGCTGTATCATATCATAGTCGTGGCAGGTAGCATCATCTTGGGAGCATAAGTGAGAAGAAAGAGCATAGAGGAATTCAGGAAGCTAGTGGGTGGGCAGGCTTGTTCTATTATAGTTCTTATAAGAATGAACCAGGCTCCCTCAAGAGTTACACCCGTCCCTTTGTGGCCTAATTACTTCCCACTGGGTCCCACCTCTTTTGATGGTTTTTTAGTGTTTTTTAGAGACAGGCTATCACCAAACCTTCTTTAACATCTTCCCTCTACTTCCCTCTTGCTCTTTTCCTTTTACTGTTTCCTTTTTTTCTCTTTAGCCTCTCCGGTTATGAACGTTCTCCCTTCTTCCCTGCCCCTCTTTGTCCACCTTCTCTGTGTCTCAACACACTCCCCCTAGAGTGACCAGACCTTCCTTTGTCACCACACTGCTCCTTCCCTGATGACCATGACCCTTGTCCTCGCCATCAGTCTTTGCTCATTCTGCCTCAGGAACACGGTGACTTCAACACCTAAACCTGGCGATGCTTTTCTAAGAATAACCTGAGCTCATTGCTAATCTGGGAGCTGAGAGAGGCTGGAGTGAGAGGAGCGGGGAAAGACAAAACGGAGAGTAGAAGACAGACATCAGGGCTTGGCTTCAGATAGCTGCCTTGAGTCTGAAGGCCGAGCATCCATTCCTCCCAGATGCTGACCTTTGAGTTTGCCTTCCAAACAACTTGGTCAGCCACTCAAGCTCCGGTACCCAGGTGGTGCCTGGCTCTTTGTGGGCCTACAACAAATGCTGGCTGAGCAAATTTTGTCTCTTAAGGGAACAAACAGCCTTTCACCGGATGAAGTCAGTGGTGGGGTTCGTCTGAGGAACAAAATCAGGACTAGTCCAAATTGGAGCTAGGATCCAGCTGTACTGAATCAAGCTGTAAGTCGAGCTATGCCTCAGGGTTAGCCATTCACAAACCAGACACTACCAGATATTCACTGCCAACCCTCTCTCTGCTCTGTGTTCTGGAGCCCAGCATCCTAAAGATGATGAGGCCTAACATTGCCTCCCCCCCAAAAAAGAATTTAGCCAAGTAGAAGAGATGCCATGGTGAGGTCCAGGGGACCAAAGGGGATTATCTAATCTAATGGGAGAATTATATTAAGAGTTAGGCCCATTTCCCACCCCCACCCAACCCCCCAAAATACCTACAGTGTAGGGTCCTATTTTATTCTTCTAAAATTTTTCTAATTATACAAGTTATAACTGTCCACTTTTAAAATGCAAAGTACAAATATATGAAAAGTATTTTTTAAGGTTCTCATGATAGATCTGGACAGTGGTAGCTCACACCTCAAATCCCAGCACTTGAGAGATTAAGGCAGCAGAATTTCCATGAGTTGGAGGCCAGACTAGGTTACACACTGAGACCCTGTCTCAACAAACAAATGTCTCATCATTGAGCTGGGAGTAGTGGCTCCTATCTGAAATCCTAGCACTGGGAAGACTGAAACAGGAGGGTCGTTGAGTTTGAGGCCAGTCTGTGCTACATACTAAATTCCAATCTAGTCTGAACTGCTAGTGAGACTATCTCAAAGTCAAAGTCTCAAAAAAATCAAGTCTTATAGCCATCTTATATGAATGGAACTGCTTAGAACCTTCTAAGGACATGTACATCTGGGCAGGATTACATGCAACTGATATGTGACTGTGTTGGTGTGTGTATTTGTGTGTGTGTGCGTGTGCATGTGCATGTGCATGTGCTGAGGCGGGCAGAAGGAGGGAGTGGCTATAATCTCAGGTCAGAGTCTGATGATCCTCTCACAACTCCTCCAAGGGCAAAGCTTCAACAGTGAGTTGCAACCCCAGATAGGTTCACATAACTGAACATAGGGATCTTGAAAAAAAAAAAAAAAAAGCTAAACAATAGGCTCTAAACACACAATGACCAAAATTTGATTCACAGCCAAATGTGTATCATGATTCCAAGATGTTTCTGACAGCACAGTACACAATGTCAGTATAACCTCTATCTGAACATACAATACACACCACACTCTGTATTTGGTGGTGGCAAAATCCTTCAATCCCAGCACTTGAGAGTCAGAGGCAGAGAGATCTCCAAAGTCTGAAGCCAGTCTAGTCTATATGGAGGCCAGCTAGATCTATATAGAGAAACATGATCTCATTTTTAGAAATGCTTCTTTTTAAAAAAATGATTTTTTGTTTGTTTGTTTTTCAAAACAGGGTTTCTCTCTGTAGCCTTGGCTGGCCTGGAACTCACTAAGATCCACCTGCCTCTGCCTCCCAAGTGCTGGGATTAAAGGCATGTGCCACCATCGCCCAGAGATTTAGGTATTTTTATTTGAGGTGCTTGAGTGTTTTATCTGTATGTATGTTTATGTACCACATGCACACAGTGCCTAAGGAGGTCAGAAGAGAGCATCATATTCGCCCTGGAACTAGAGTTATGGACAGTTGTAAGCCACCTTGCAGCTCCTGAGAGCCAAACCTAGATCCTCTCCAAGAAAACCAGTATCTTAACTAGCTCTCCAGCTCCTGCTTCAAATTTTATCTGTTTATTTAGTTATTTAGGGTTTTTGGAGGGGGGTGTTTTTGTTGTTGTTGTTGTTTTGTTTTGAGACAAGGTCTCTGTTTAGTTAGGTTTTCTGTTGCTGTAAAGAGACACCATAACCACAGCAGCTCATATTGAGATTAACTTACAGTTTTAGAGGTTTAGTCATGGTGGGAAACATGGAGGCAAGCAGGCACACATGATGCTAGAGAAGAAAGTGAGAGTTCTATATCTCAATCTTCAGGCAGCAGCAGGAGGCTGTGTCACACTGAGCATAGCTTGAGCAAAGAAGACCTTAAAGCCCACTCCCACAGCGACACACTTCCTCCAACAAAAACCACGCCTCCTAGTAGTGTACTCCCTATGGGGGCCATTTTCCTTCAAATCACCACAGTCTCTCAAGGTAGTCCTGGCTGTCCTGGCACTTGCTCTGTAGACCAGACTGGCCTGGAACTCGAAGAGATCTGCAGTCCCTGCCTCCCAAGTGCTGGGATAAAAGATGTTCAATCTTGTTAACGTTAAAAATGCTGTCTCTCAGTATCAAATTCAGCCAAGACTTAATTCTTTGTGTAAAAAACAAGCAAACTAATCCATCTCTGTATGCAATTCACTTCAGTCTTCAATAAATGGTAAAACTGTGTGTGTGTGTGTGTACCAAAGAACTGTTTTGTAAGAAATTTGTGATTTATTATCAGTAAATGATTAATTTGTCTATTTTTAAATACCTATACACCTGAGGTCACTTACAAATTTCTTAGGTGAAAAGGAGTCATTAACAGTAAAGTTTAAGACCTGTACAAGGGAATATTATCAGGTCCAACTGTCCATGAGTGATAGGTAGGTCATCAAAGATGCTCTGCTTCAGGGTGGATTCAGCCATGTCATGCCTGGCGAACAGCACGCCACAGCAGCCTTCAGCATGTGAATTAGAAAGGCAGGGAGGTGACAGCCTAAGTAATATATTCCTCTGTCTCTCCTTAGGGCTACTCAGATTAAGACCTACTCCTGGGACAACGCACAGGTTATTCTGGTGGGAAACAAGTGTGACATGGAAGAAGAAAGGGTGGTCCCCACTGAGAAGGGCCGGCTCCTTGCAGAGCAGCTTGGTATGTACATGGCATGTATGTATGCATGTGTGTGTTTACGTGGGTAAATGACTGGACGTGTGTGTGCGTAAGAGTATGTATATACATGCGCACATATGTGCACATGTGGAAATAGAATAAATAAGGTACAAGAGAGGGCTTTTATTTGTGACATTAAGGTAGATCGTGATTATAAATGATGGACCTGGGTGTCCTGTATTTACTGTTTTATATTTGAATCATATACATATGGTTCATGATTTTAGGGAAGTTATCATTTATATTTTTCCTATAGTGAATATATGAGTAAAATTCAAATATGTGAATACTTTTTTTTCCCAGATTTTTTGTTTTGGTTTGGTTTTTTGAGACAGAGTTTCTCTGTGTAGCCTTGGCTTTCCTGGAACTCTCTCTGTAGACCAGGTTGGCCTCGAACTCACAGAGATCCACCTGCCTCTGCCTCCCAACCACCTCTGCCCAGCTATGAACACTGATTTTAAACCAGATCCATCCACAAAAGATTTGAGATAGCTTATTAAAAAAAATAACTGTAGAACAGGAATTTAAAAAAAAAATTAATGAGGAAGTTTTAGCAAGCACAGGAGGAAGACAGAGAAAGAGTCAGATAAGTGTGTGTGTCACAAGTTCTTGGGCACTGGCACCAGCAAGAGGTAGGCCAAACTATCTTTGGGCTTCCTAGCAACCACTACAAAGCGAGAAACATAATCTGTTATGTGGTTCAGCATGTCCTTACTATAAAAACAAGCCTATTATTCAGGGAAGCTCGGCTCTTCATTGGCAGACTGTGCAGAATGTGGCCAAATAATAGCACACATTCTTCCGGAAACAGCGATGCTGTGCATAATAGGCCTTTGCTTGCCACTTTTCCTCATGTAAATGGATGCCTCTCACAATTCACAACAAAAGTCAGCATATTCTGAAGAGGCAAAGCAATGCAGCTTGGTGCTGCTTGGGCTCTTCCCAAGGTGGAAAGCATTTTGACCCCTGTGTTCCACTGAGGCCCAGATGCCCAAGCATGACTCAGTTCCCCATAGCAGAACCCATACGTGTCTTTGCTTGAAAGATCAGTTTTTATTACATGTATTGGGGTTAGGAGACTGGCAGAATACCGTACACAGATAGGAATGAGAATAAGTATGTACTGAAGATAGACTCTGTGAACTGGTCAGATTTAGACAGACCAGGTAACCCATCTCCTGAGTTTACCTCTAGTGTTTACCTAAGTGTATAGATGCACAGGTTATAATATGGGTTATGTAATATGGGTTATTATGCTTTATTCAGGGAGAACTCACTTTCATGAGAAACCAATGTCCTACAAGCAGGATCCACACCCAGGCTACTCTCTGTAACTCGACCAAAACCAAGAGAGAGCAAGCTAGGGTCCAGGACCCCAGACCTAGCCTTCCCCCATCACATCCGCACCTGTGACCAAACAGGCATGGTCAATGTACTAGGTGAGGGCGGGGTAGATATCTCACTACATGAGTATGTCTATTTATATATTTATCCCTCTTCCTGGGATGTATGTATGGTTTGTTTCATCCCAAGAATCTAGTTTAGGGTAAATATTTATATATTCCATTTATTCATAGAAAAATATGTATTGGGTGTCAGCAAGATGGTACAATAGGGGAAGGATCCTGCCTTCAACCCTGACAACCTGAATTTAAGCACCCAGCGAGTGCGCGCGCGCGCACACACACACACACACACACACACACACACACACACACACACACACCATAAATATTTTTTAAAAGAATACTATGTATTGAGCATATACTCTAAGCCATATTCTGCCCTGGCACTAAGGATATAATTAATGGGAGCATGTGTAATTTCCACTATCAGGGAATTAACAAGGATAGAGGTACTAAACAAATAAATAAAAATTATTTAAGTGGGTGAATTGTACAGTATGTAAATCATACCACAATACAGCTATTGTTTATGACTAATTATGATTAATAATCTTGTTACAATGAATAAAAATCTTCAAACTAGTTTCATTTTAAAAATAGAAATTTTAGAGTAATTTTTTGAACTTAAAATATAATTATATTCCTCCTTTCCTTTCTTCCTCCCAGCTCTTCCTATGAACCCCCTTGCTCTCCCTTAAATGCATCTATAAATTCATATATATATATGTACATATATATATATGTGTGTGTGTGTATGTATTCTTAAATACACACACACACACATACATATACACACACACCTATATATAAATACAACCTGCTTAGTCCATATAATGTTGCTTGTATATATGTTTTTTTTTTATTTTGTATATGTGTTTTTAGGACTAACCACTTGATAGTCAGTAACCAATTGGTATGCTCTTCTCTGGGGAAGATCATCTTCTCCTGTTCTTAGCTTTCCTTAGTTGCCTATAGTTCTTTGTCTAGGGTTGAGGCCCTGTGAGCTTATTAAATCACATGGAATTTTTTTAAGTTACCCAAAACTAAGCCTGGTGAATTTCCTGGGGTCTTAAACTGTGTCTCTCTATAGCTGTCCCCAAAGAGAAATGACAAATGGGGCAGACTCATCATCTGTTAGTTGTCCAAATAGTTTGCTTTGGGGGAAGATGAAGACACATCTAGATAGAATAGTTTCGATCCTTATCAAACAGGTCACTGCTTTGCTATCCCCAAAGAATGAATAATTCCATGGGACTCACTGTAGAGTGGTTGAGATTTCTGATGAAAAACCTGGCCAGAAGACCAGCCAAATATTGAGAATATACAGAAAAGATGGTTCCCAGAAAACCTCTACTCTAGCCATATTCTCTTTCTTGGAGCACTCATCTAGTTTTAGAGTTAAATGCCAAGCTTTGGTTTATGGGACTTTCTTTCTCTTTATCTGTTTTTAGCTCACTTGGTCAATACTGACATGGCTAGCAACTAACATTTGAAGGTCTTTGTGGCCTCTGGTCTCTCCAAGCTCCTAGGACCTGGGTGTGGTTTTATAGTCACTGAGAAAAGTGGACCTTTGGTACTTTACCTCCACCTAGGATGTATGACATTGTAGGGTGTCTGTTTCTGTGTGCCCCCCCAAAGTGCTTGTTGGCCCCTTTCTTGTTTCTGATTTAGGATGATGCTTGTTCCAGATGAAGAAGACAAATAAAGGAGAAATATGCCTACAAAGAAAAGAGGGTCTGGTGTGGGAGTTTTGTTTGTTTTAAGACAGGGTCTCATAAATCCCAAGCTGGTCTTGAACTTGCTATAGATCCAAGGATGACTTGGAATTCCTGATCCTCTTGCTTCCATTTCCCAAGTTCTAGGACTACAGGCATGCACCACTCTCCCTTGTTTTATCAGTACTGGGGACTGAGTCCAGGAGCTCATGCATGCAGGCAAAGCATATTACTAACCTGAGCTCCATTCCCTGCTCCACAACAAGGAAACCTTCTTAAGTCGTGTAAGAAACGGGGGGCAGGCTCAGTACTCAAACTCAGCCTTTGGACTCAACTCTTCTTTCAAACTTTTCCAGTGAATTTTTATTAGTAGTTGTATCATGATTCAAGGTGCCAGGGTAAGGAACATCATATACCCAGGTCCCCTTTACTATCTGGGGAGGACAGAGGACAGAGGGGAGGTAGGCAGAGCCAGGTCAGATCTTCCCAGGAAATGAGCCTTCTGCTCTGTGGCAATCATCCCAAGCTGAGACCCATGTTAGGGGCAGACTCTCACACACTCCCTTTGTGGTCCCTGCCTTCTCACAGAGGTAGAAGTTCAGGGGGTTCTTCTGCCAGCATTTCTGGTATGGTTCTGGTTTGGGAAGGGGCTGTCAAAGGGGGCCATTTTGTAGTTCTCGGTTTTAGTCTTGATCTCTTCAGCCATGGTGCTGACTCCTAAAGACAGTCCTGGAGCAGTGCTAGTTTAATGTGACCCTTAGCAAAGCTGCCAGTGTCGGTACTGGGCTCAAACTCTCATCACACTCTACCACATTTCCCCAAAGCATGCCATAATTTCCCTTCGCATTTGAACCATTGGTTAGGACATTAGTGAGATTTCTTTAGATTATGTTGTGATAACATATACTTGGAGTCAGCGCTCTTGAGAAACATCTATTTCTCGTTGACTTTACACATCAGCTGCTAGTTAACTGTGACCGAGTTGCTCATGTCTTCTGGGATCCAGCCCAAGGTTCTTAAAGCTTCTATTGGGGCTGGGCGGTGGTGGTGCATGACTTTGCTCCCAGCACTTAGGAGGCAAAGGCAGGCAGATCTTTGTGAGTTCGAGGCCAGCCTGGGCTACAGAGTGAGTGCCAGGATAGGCTCCAAAGCTACACAGAGAAACTGTGTTTCAAAAACAAAACAAAAAACAAACAAACAAAAAAAGCTTCCATAGGGACTTGGATCAGATCAATTTCCATTGGCTAAAGCAAGTCACACTCGCAAGCCAGCTGCTGGAGAATTAGGAGCACTGCAAGCCAGTAGAAGTGGAAAATCCCTTGTAGAGAGGGCTGTGAATTCTCTACAGCATCTCCCGAGCCCTTGATGGGTCCTGGGTACAGAAACAAATGGGCTCCCTCTTCTTAAGATGCATATGACCCAAGAAACAAAACCATAAAAAGAAATTTCAGCATCCTTAACAAGTTTAACTTTCCTCATTTCCTGTGTCCTCCTCTGTAGGGAGACTAACCTCTTCAGGATGTGTTTTCTCTGAGTGTGGCTTCTGGTTGAGCCTAGCTATGGGGCAGAGGACTGAAGAGGGAGGGAAGGCCAAAGCTGGCCCTGAATTCCTGATCCTCCCGCCTCCATCTCTCAAGTGGGAATTACAGCTGTTAACCACTCTACCTGGATTGAAAGGGCTGATATAAAAGTAGCAAACTAGTTAGTCCCTTCCCAGCTGTCTACTTCATTCTCCAAGGCATGGTCTTCCTACTTCCACATATGTTCTCACCACTATTACTGGCTATGAGATATATGCAGCTAACGGGCAGCCATCACCACAGAGCCTGTGCTATGCTCTTCAAAATTTTGAATCTCCTGGATCATGAACCATCTAAGTTATTTTCTTCACAAGTAGTTTGAGTCAGGTATTTTATTACAGTGATAAAAAGTCAAAGAATACTTTTAAGCCAATAAGGCTGATTTGAGATCACTTGGGCCTCTGTTAGTCCCAGTGACACAAATCCAAGACAAAATAGTTCAAGTTTCATACAAGAACATAGCTGAAATAAAATGGGAGAAGATGGGCAACAAATGAACAGGCCAGGGAATATATCTCATCAGTACTGTGCTTGTCTAGTGTGGGGTCCTAAGTTCAATACCACACACACACACACACACACACACACACACACACACACGACAAAATATGCCTTTAGCTTTGGTGTCTAGTGCTTGAAGCCCCAGTACTTAGGAGGTTGAGCCAAGAGGACTGAATATTTGGGTTTGGGTTAGCCTGGGCTACATTAACAAACCATGGTGTTGGGTGGACTGGTCCTATGACAGTCAAAGTAACCAAGAAAGAGAGTAAACCTAGAACAGGAAGGAAAATGTCAAGTCTCAGCAAAATCAAGAAGCAGGAAGGTACGGTACGAGCTGAAGGTTAATAAATCATAGAGATGCAGAGGTCTGGGCAGGGTGGAGAGGGATTTGAATATTATGGAAGTGGAGAAATATTTAGAAGAAGAGTTCTGATAAGAGGTGAGTTTGGCTGGTTGGGAATTTCCAAATAGAATCTGAGGTCGAGTTCAGAGGCAGGTGTGGGCTCAGTTTGTGGATCTCTAATAGCTGGTGTTGGCAAGCTAGACAAACCTATCATTTTGGAAATGGGGAACATTCAGATTCAGTTGAAAACTGGACTCCATTAAAGGCAGCAGAAATTCTATTGTTCTGGAGCCAATTAGAGCAGGAAAGGACTGGGGGTGACTAGTCTGCTTAATTGGTTGTCATCTTCCTTGCCACACTAGACTCTCAGCTCCTGGAACACTTTTATTAATGAATCGGAGGAAAAGGTTACCACCTGGGCCTCCTAATAAAATGCCTTCCAGGAGCCTGACAGTAATTGAGGGTACACTGGAGATTGCTCTGACTGGGCCAGACCCATGAGGTGTAACTTGAATTAGAATTTGGGTACTTTTGAAATGACAGTAAAGATATCTGGTCTCCATGTTTGGTCTCTTATTCTCCATATCCCACCATGCTCTGATAACCAACTGTCATGGTCCTTTTAGTAACAGAAAAGATGTTTCACCCTCCCTTTCCCTGTTCACAAGTGTTTTTTCCTGCCCACTATTTCAGACAAGCATGTGTATACTCACAGTCCTGTATCTTTGTCCCTAGCTGATGCTTGCATCAGCATCACTGTCCCCAAGACATCTAGCTTGGTCCTTAGACTTGTGTCCTCAGTGTCCTTTGGCTTCCCACTGTCCCAACACTTAGCACTATGGTATCATTATGTCTATCTCCTACATTAGAGCAGGAGCTTGATAAATGTAGGGACTGTGTATGATTCACCTTGGTGTCCCTAGTGCACAGCACATGATCTGCCTGTGCCATGTCATGCTTCCTGAGCCAAGCTCTCACAGCCCCGCCCCTGCTGGTTACATCTCTTCCATCATGTCTTCAAGGCTCTTTCCTAACTTTTTTGTTGGGGGGGAAGTAGGGGGGACTGGGTTTTTGAGACAGGGTTCCTCTGTGTAATAGCCCTGGCTGTCCTGGAACTCGATCAGTAGACTAGACTGGCCTTGAACTCACTGAGATCTGTCTCTGTCTCCCAAGTGCCACCATTGCCTGCATCTTTCCTGCCTATTTCAGTCAACCAACACTCACCAAGCACCTACTCCTGCACTTGGGCTGGAGCTCCACTGAATAGCCCAGTCCCTTCTCAGAGATCTTCAAGTCAGACAGGTTTCTACCCATTTGGTAACAGGTGCGATGGCAGAGAGGCATGGAAAGCCCCGTCTCAGTCCTGCAGAATGAAAAGGTAGATGAATTTTGTTGGGTTCTAACATGAAGGGCTTGCATTCCTGCCGAGGAAGCTGCTCCTTGTTTTCTCTGCAATTTCTTCCCTCTCCTGGCTTTTCCCTTTCCTCCTCTGTCTTGTTTCCCTACCCATAAAGCAGAAGTGCCCGACCTCCCTCAGAAGGTGGCTTTAGTACTCTGTTTATGAACTACGAACCATGCTGACATGCATGATCAAAACTCTTCCTAGTGAGTTTCCAGAACCAGATTTGATCTCCCCAGGTCCCAGGTCCTTAGCAAAAAAAGACTTGGCAAAATGTCAGTGCTCAATAAAAATCTGCTGTGTTGATTGACCCTGATTGCTGAAGGAGACCCACCCACCCACCCACACACACACACACACACACACACACACTCTCTCTCTCTCTCAAAGTTGGGAGACAGAAGAAGGACTGAGAATAAAGTATGTGGGAAACATGGAAAGATGACTTGTTAAGTATGTCAGTGGGAAGCTCAAGGATACTGAGGAAATAATAATCATGTAACTTGTCTTGTGCATCCCCATACCTCCCTATGAGGCTGGTGATATTCACCCTCTTCAACAAAGGATGAAGTGGAGGTTGAACACAATTAGGCTACTTGCCCATGCTGATAGAAATATGCTGAAATTTAGGCTGGCTTCCAGGACTCTTCCCACTGTCCCCCTGTATAATGTGGCTCGTCCCCAGTCAGTGCTAATTCCTCAGAAAGGATTGGTAGCCTGGCTTTGACCTGTGTCATCTTCTTCACCCACATGGATGATGAACGCCCCTTACCTACGAAAGCCTGTCAAAGGACCAAGGAATCCATTTTTGTGATATTCATTAAGGAAAAGTTATATGCTGAAGAGTATTCGAAGCTGCTGAGTTCCTGGGGCCTGAGGATAATGAGCCAGCAGCTGCCTCCTTCTTCGTCACATGTCTGTAATTAGCAAGTGCTTCTTTAGCTTGCCTTTCTCAGGTCAGGAAATAGGCCACAGGAGTGGCTTTCAGCTGGAGGTGGGCTGGCAGAAGGAGCAAGAGAGCCTTCAAGCGGTAAGGCCAGGGAAAAGGGGCCTTGTTTGTACCTGGGCTCCAAGCTTTTCTGTAGATAGCAGAGTAAGGAGGAAGGAGGTGGGAAGAGACTCTTCTTGGTGGGAGAAGATAAAAGAGGGGGGGGGGGAAGAGATGGGGAGGTGAAAGGGCATCGGGAAGAAGGTGTCATTGTAACGGACAGCTTCGGTACCGCAATTTACCCTTTGTCTCACTCAATCCTCCCAGTAGCTCTCCCATAGGAAGACTGCTATTATTCCCACTTGACAAACCCCAAGTATGAGCATCAGAGAGGTTAAGTGATTCTGACAAGTGTGGTGGCTTGCGCAGTTTCAGACTCCAGAGCAGTCAGATAAAAGCAAACAGATGTGTAAAGAAAGAAAATTAAAGCTTGATGGAGTGGTACAAGCTTGTGATGCCAGTGCTCGGGAGCCTGAGGAAGAAAATCATAAGTTCCAGGCCAGCTTGGGCTATACACTGAGCCTCTGTCTCAAAAAACAAAACAAAACAAAAAACCCCCCAAAAACACACACAAAGAAATAAGAACAAAAACACAAAACAATGAATAACCCACAATTGCATCAGGGAATTGGATGACAGAAAGCAAAGCAAAGAGGGGTAGGGTTATGTTCAGACTTTGGAGCCCTGAAAACCCAAGACCAAACTCAATTCCCAGACAGCCTTGTGACTTGTGTGAACCTCTTGCACTCCTGGAGCACTCCTCCTCTCACTTGTAGGCTGGGAATGCTGGTGTTTTACCCACCAGGCTGTCGTGAGTGTCTAGCTTAGGGTATGGCATATAGGATGCTCAATGAGGCTACATGAGAGGAAGAATGAAACTTCACTTATTCACTGAGTGCCCAGACTAGAGCTTGTCAGGATGCAGTGAGAGGGAGGTGAAGAAAGGTCCCAGAGGCTGGGCATGGAGTGGACTTGGCCTTAGATCACTTGCCTGGTATGTACAAGGCCCCAGGTTCCATCCCTAGCAGGACAAAAACAACAGAAAACCTAAGAGCTGGGCCTCCACACTGATGCTCCTACTTACCTCGGGCACGAGTTTACTTTCCCAAGCCACATGACGGGGGAGGTGTGTGTGTGTGTGTGTGTGTGTGTGTGTGATCTGCAGAGCATGTGACTGGCACTCCTTCCTTCCCCCAGGCATGCTTTGGAATGTGTGAAGTGCTGTGATTCTACACATATGCATTCACTCAGCTAACACTGGATGCCCTCCTCCCCCACTCATGCACTGAGGCACTGGGCTATATACTTCACAGGCCTTTTTTCTTTTTTAGCTCAGTTCTCATTGAAGTAATTCTACAAGGTAGATAAAATTATTCCTATTTACAAACTAAGAAGTTAATCTGTAGGCAGAATGAATATGACTTGCCCAGAACTAATCAACTGATTTTTAAATGTGTACAGGCAGCCCTTGCCCTGTACTGTCTCTTTGAGGCAGAATCCTCTCTGTGTAAAATTAGGCCTCCTTGCTTCCTGTCTGAACTCTGGCTATATTGATCCAGAGAACTAGGCTGGGGACACAAAATTGTTCCAGCAGAAGGGCTGGGAAAAACTGTATTTATGTCTCCTTTCTCCCTAGGGTTTGACTTCTTTGAAGCCAGTGCCAAGGAGAACATCAGTGTGAGGCAGGCCTTCGAGCGTCTGGTGGATGCCATTTGTGATAAGATGTCTGACTCGCTGGACACAGACCCCTCTGTGCTGGGCGCTTCCAAGACCACGCGTCTCTCAGACACCCCACCACTGCTGCAGCAAAACTGCTCCTGCTAGACATGGTCCACCCTCCTGCCTCCCTGCGTCATGCCCACACACACCCTGCTTCCCTCTGTTTACTCACTGTCCATTCCTCACCCCAAGGAAGCTGAGTTCTTTGCCAGCCCCTGTGGTTCTCTGAAGTTGGCCCCAATTACAGACACTAATGGTGCAGGCTACTGTGTGGGTGAAGGTTCCTTTTACAAAAGCAAACTCCCTTTTATGAAGGAGGTTCACTATAGAGACTTGGAAAGAATCTTTTCTGCCCTTAAAATAAAATAAAATTTCCTTCATTTACCAAGACACCCCTCCTACACACACATGTCAGGGGCTGGCTGGTGTGTACGGTGAGACCCACCTGCACGGCTAATCCTATTAAAGAAAATGTCTCAAAGTAGAACCTGCTTGTTTCCTATCAGGTTCCCTGTAGAGCTTCCTCTCACTGCAAGCCAAGCTTTGGTCTGCAAAGCCTGAGCCTGTTTCCACGGATGCCCACAGGGCCTGGGCAGTTGCTGTGGTGACAGGATGGTGCTAATCTCTGGAGAGCTCAGACTCTAGTGATGCCGAAGGAGCAAAGGCTGAGTCAGAAACACACTTTAAAAAAATAGGATTATCCTCTGCAAAATGTCAAAGGCCCCTGCCATCTAAAAGTACAAGGGTAAGAAGGAAGAAAAAAGAGCAACCCAGACAGACACAGGTCTCCTCTTTCTAGATAGTTCACCACTGTCTCATGATGTAGCCTCAGGTTGGCCTCAAACTTGCAATTTAGTTAAAACTGACCTTGAACCTATTCCTACTGCCCCAGCTTCCCCCATGCTGGGAATACAGGTGTGTAATGCCAACCCCAATTTCTACAGCTGGTTCTTGACTCTGAGAATGCCATAAAATTGGTCACTGATTCTTGGGCTCCCAGAACCTGAATTGTTGGGAACAGATGAGATCATCCCCAAATTTACCTGGTTTAACTAGTCAACTCCAAGCGCTCCAATTCTGTAAGTGGCTCTCAGTTCTCACAGTCGAATTTTAGCTGTGACCTCTGCAGCTCTAGATTGATCTGCCCAGGGTGACTGGGAATGAAGAACCCACATACACAAGTAACAAAAAGCTGGGTGGGATACGGTGGGCTGTGGGCTTGGATGAAGAATATCATCAACAGCCTGAAAACTCAGTGTGGAGATACAGAGCTGAACAAGGAGATGGGTTTATTATACTCAGTCAAAAGAGGAGGCAGGTTAGCTAATCTTGGTAGGGGCTCTTTAAAGGCTGTGTCACCAGGAGCAGGAAGCTGTGGTTGATACTTTCTGCCCACTCTGTCAACATCCTTAGTGGACCGGGGGCCGGTCTTGCTATGCTCACAGGTCCAAGGCATTAGGGTCTTAGTGTTGCTGTGTCAGTGTCAACAATACATATTCAGGACTCCATTGGCTCTTGACAAATCTCTTTCTTTTAAAGCACACTGTCTATCAGGTGTGATTGGTGGCTCGTGCCTGCAATCCTAGCATATAAGAAGTTGAGGCAGAAGGATCAACTGTTCCAGAACAGCCTGGGCTGCAGTTCCCAGTTACAAGCAAAAGCAAAAACAAAAACAAGCATGTGTTTTGGGCAGACACCATAGCTCACTGTCTGCAGTGTCTTTGTGCAGCTCTCAAAGCCAGGACCTGTCTTAGCTTCAAACTGAAAACAGCCCCATGGGAATCCTGTCTTCCCTTCCATTTGCATTAGTTCTACAGTGAGCAGTCCCTCCATCTCTACTCTCCAAGGCTCCTTGATTTAAGAACAAGAATCATGACCTACTCTTTCCCAGGGTCAAAGCTCCCTGTAAATCCATATGCCCTTTTGCAAAGGGCATTCTGCATAGGGCGCTTCCTCCTATCCTGCCCAGATACTCCTGAGAAATCCAACTGGAAAAGGCCAATCAAAGCAAAATAAAACTAAGGGGACATAGTCCTGAAAAAAAAATGGTATTCCCAACTGTTACACCTCTGTTCTATTTCCTGGGAGAACGTCTATCAGAGAGCCCCATTTTACCACCAAAAACACGAAAGAGAGAAAAAAGTAATATTAATCTGAAGCCAGAGCCAATTAACTTGGATCCAACTTGCTATGGACACCGGAACACATCTGTATTTTAGTTGAAATAATGAGACAGAGCCATTGATAATTCCTGAAGGTCTTTTTTCAGCTCAATCCCACAGCCTCCCCGGCTAACACTTTAACTCAGTAATCAGTGTGTGTGAGGGGAGATCTGTCAGTTTTCTGTATTTCAAATGCAGCTCATTGTCCTGGAAAGGCACACAAGCTGGCATCAGTTTGGTCCAGTGACCAAATGAAAGGGCCAGCCAGAGTCAGCCCCATGGACATGCTGCATTCTTTGATATGCTGCAGAAGACAGAGTTTAGGTTTAGAATTTAGGACATCTGGACACTGCTATTTAACCGGAGTTTTTGTTGGATGTTACACTTACATTGCATGGCATATTGTTCCCAGAAATTGCCATGTATTAATTCATTTATATCTTCCTAACATTTCTGTGAGGGAGGCACTTTGGTCAATCCCACTTATAGATGAGGAAACAAGACTCTGGCTTGCCTAAAGTCACGTAAGTAGCAAATGGTAGATTAGGGACTCAAACCCAGGAATAGTGTTCCAAGGTCTGCACTTTAACCAACATTCTGTACCACAGTTCTTTTCAATAAACATGATCCTGACATGTGGTATCCTGCCACGGTTACCAGGTCCAAGTCCACTTGAAAAAGGATGTATGTCTGTGATGTGTCAACAAACTGCTCAGCTACTCAGACTAATCTGAGGTGATGGATCCCCAGTGTGCAGGAGAGTTAGTTTCTGGGGCAACCAGATCCCATGGGCTTAAGAAAGAAATGCCCATCATTCTCAAGGCTAAGTGCTGACTTTGTATCTGTCTTAGTGGGTCAATACCTGTCTGGCTCCCAGGTGGTAATCTGAGCAGTCTCCATGCTCCAACCAGGTGATTTGATTGTCATCTCTGACTATGGACACACACATACACACACACACACCCCGTTCTCAGGACTGTGGTCCCACTATGCTTTATACATTATAAGGCTGCACAGACTGTCATGGAAGCTAACAGTTTTCTCTGGGCAATAGCACCCATATACCTTCGTACTAAAATTTCACGCAGAAGTCTTCATAATGCCTGGTTGTTTTAGCACCTATATTCAATAATATTGCATGTTCAGGGAAAGACTGGATCTTCAAAAATTGCTCAGGAACCACCAGTTCAAAGGAGCAAGCATCTTCATAACAGAGTCAAGAGTCAAGTGTTATTGTGCAAGCTCTTCTACAGGCAACAGACAAACAGACCTGCTTTCAAGATGGCAATTCCCTAGCTCTGCTCCATGACCTCATTCCTGCTTCATGGAAGGCAGCCACTTCCTGCTGATTGTAGCACAGAATTCATCAATCACAGTAATAGCGCAATTAGCCACCGAGGTAGGAGGTACATAAAATGTGTTAGTGGCAACTTGTCCCAGATTTCATCTTCCTAAACAAACCAAATAAAAGGTTTTAAAAAAACCAAACAAACATTGACCTTTAAAGAGGCAAAAGTAGGCTAGAAGTACATAGAATCCGTTTTAAATGTATGTGTGTCTACAAATACAAAGTGATTCGTGATTTCTAATTGTTCCATTAATCTATAGCGTTGTTCATTTGTATAGCAGCAGTGGAATGTGGTACACCTAGTGGGCACAGACCCATCAAATATCAGACACAAAAAGTTCCTTAGAGAAGATCTTATCCAGCCTCCTGTTTCACAGAATGGAAGATTAAGGTCCAAGGAGTGAGAGAAAATCTCCTAAGAATCCCAAGAGTCCCTGAGTAATGCAGCCAGGACTAGGTCATGGGTCATCTCAAAGAAGGAACTCTCCTATTGCCATTACTTAAGCCCAGTAATATTGAACATTGTATAAATATTACAGATAAAAACCAATGACCTCTACTTGTCAGGTACCTATATTTAATGGTAATACTTAGGAGATCTTATTTTAAGATATCATTATCCCTGCTTGCCAGGAAGGAAATGGGCCTAACAAAGTACATGTGCCCAAGACAGGCCCTGGCCCCATCTGAATCTACCCCTGTCTGGCTCATACCTTTCGGTTTTCTTCCTCACACTGCCTCAGATGAAGGCTAAATGGGGTGAGGGTACCAACCGACTCCCAGCCGAACCCCTGATTCCCAATTCCTCTGTGACTGTAGCTTTGTAATAGCTTTTAAAGCATCTTCCAGGCCTAACTCTCTTGATCATATTCCCTGCCCCTGATCCAAAGCTCCCTCCTTGGATACTAGGCTGCATGGAATAGCAGAGAAATGTTTGCTTGACTTTGCCAGTGGTTTGGAGGAAAGGAAATACAGCAATTAATGTACTGATATCCATCAGTTTTGGATTCTTCATCCCAAGCCCAAACTGAGCTACATGCCATAGCTGAAGAATCAAGCAACATCCTGTGGTTTGCTACTATACACAAAAGACTGAGCCATGAGATAAATGCTGTTAAGTTTTTTTTTTTTTTAGACTTAAGTCTATTATATGAAGTATTCATTTGGCAACTCGATGTCTAATATGTCAGTGGCAGATTAGACACAGGCCTTTCCCTTGTGAAGTATGTAGTTTCAGTTAGTCTAGACACTGTCAAACCATCACTAAATATAACTAAAGGGCTGTAGATTAGTTGGCAGAGTGCTTGCCTAGCATGCACGAAGTGCAGGATCCCTAGCACCGTATAAACCAAGCATGGTGGCACATGACAATAATCTTAGCAATAGGAGGTGAAAGCAAGAGAATCTGAAGGTCAAGTCATCCTCAGCTACATAGGCAAGGGGAGGCCATGCTGAGCTATAGGAGATCCTATAGGGTAAAAAATTCACACACACACACACAAACACACACACACACACACACACACACACACACGAAATTATGAAGTACTGTGAAGGAGAGGCACATGATGCTATGAGAACAGGTAATTGGGAAACCTGAATCACCTTTCTAAAGTTGTTTCAGGAAAGATTCTTTGAATACCTCCACCACCTATGGCTGCTGCTTTAAAATCCTCAGTTAAGTTTTTGTCTTTTAGTTACAACCTTTGATAGTTGATCAAACACAAGTCTTTCAAAAAGATTAAGAGTGGGATGAGTATCTGTCCCAGTGGGTTGATACTTCGCTATTTTGTTGTTGTTTTTGAGAAATGTAACAAATCACTTTAAAACTTAATGGCATCCAGGAATAGTGACTCACACCTGTAAGCTTATCAATTGGAGGCTGAGGCAGGAGGATAGCTACACAGTGAATTCCAGGCCAGTTTGAGCTACAGAATAAGACCCCCAAATTAAGCAAATCAAAAAACAATGACTTTG